TGTTTTCATTTGTCTCCATATATTGCTTGATCTATGTTTTAATTTGGTCATTGATATATTGATTATTTAGAAGCATGTTGTTAAGCCTCCATGTCTTTGTGAGCCTTTTTGCTTTCTTTGTACAATTTATTTCTAGTTTTACACCCTTGTGATCTGAAAAGTTTGTTGGTACAATTTCAATCTTTTTGAATTTACTGAGGCTCTTTTTGTGGCCTAGTATGTGGTCTATTCTAGAAAATGTTCCATGTGCACTTGTAAAGAATGTGTATCCTGTTTCTTTTGGGTGGAAGAATGTGTATCCTGTTTCTTTTGGGTGTAGAGTTCTGTAGATGTCTATTAGGTGCATCTGTTCTAATATGTTGTTCAATGGCTCTGTCTCCTTATTTATTTTCTGTCTGAATTATCTTTCCTTTGGAGTGAGTGGAGTATTGAAGTCTTCTAGAATGAGTGCATTACATTCTATTTCCCCTTTTAATTCTGTTAGTATTTGTTTCACATGTGTGGGTGCTCCTGTTTTGGGTGCATAGATATTTATAATGGTTATATCCTCTTGTTGGATTGACCTCTTTATCATTATGTACTGTCCTTCTTTGTCTCTTGTGAGTTTCTTTGTTTTGAAGTGTATTTTGTCTTATAAAAGAACTGCAACATCTGCTTTTTCTTCCTATTAGTTGCATGAAATATCTTTTTCCATCCCTTCACTTTAGTCTGTGTATGTCTTCGGGTTTGAAGTGACTCTCTTATAGGCAGCATATAGTTGGGTCTTGTTTTTTATCCATTCAGTGACTCTATATCTTTTGATTGGTGCATTCAGATCATTTACATTTAGAGTGATTATCGATAGGTGTGTGCTTATTGCCATTGCAGGCTTTAGATTTGTGGTTACCAAAGGTTCAAGGATAACTTCCTTACTATCTAAGAGTCTAACTTAACTCACTTAGTATGCTATTAGAAACACAGTCTAAAGGTTCTTTTTTTTACCCCCCTTTTCTTCCTCCTTCATTCTTTATATATTTGGTATCATATTGTGTACTCTTTGTCTGTCCCTTTTTATTACGTCTGGTGACCACTATTTAACCTTAGTAACACTTCCATCTATAGCAGTACCTCCAAAATACACTGTAGAAATGGTTTGTGGAAGCTAAATTCTCTCAGCTTTTGCTTATCTGGAAATTGTTTAATCCCTCTTTCAAATTTAAATGATGATATTGCTAGATAAAGTATTCTTGGTTCAAGGCCCTTTTGCTTCATTGCATTGAATATATCATGCCACTCCCTCTGGCCTGCAAGGTTTCTGCTGAGAAGTATGATGACAGCTTGATGGGTTTTCCTTTGTATGTGATCTTGTTTTTCTCTCTTCCTGCTTTTAATAGTCTGTCTTTACCCTTGATCTTTGCCATTTTAATTATTATATGTCTTGGTGTTGTCCTCTTTGGGTCCCTTGTGTTGGGAGATTTGTGTACCTCCTTGGTCTGAGAGACTATCTCCTTCCCCAAATTGGGGCAGTTTTCAGCAATTACTTCATCAAAGACATTTTATATCTCTTTTTCTTTCTCTTCTTCTTCTGGTACCCCTATAATATGAATATTGTTCTGTTTGAATTGGTCACACAGTTCTCTCAGCATTCTTTCATTCTAAAGATGCTTTTTTCTCTCTGTGCCTCAGCCCTTTTGTATTCCTCTTCCCTAATTTCTATTTCATTTATCGTATCTTCCACCTTATCTAATCTTCTTTTAATACCCTCCATTGTGTTCTACAACAACTGGATCTCCATCCTAAATTTGTTCCTGAGTTCTTGAATATTTTTCTGTACCTCCATGAGCATGTTAATAATTTTTTATTTTGAAATCTCTTTCAGGAAGATTCATGAGGTCGATTTCATTTGACTCTTTCTCTGGTGTATTCCTAATTTTGCTTTGAAGCAGGTTCCTTTGAGCTTTCATAATTTGTCTGTGGTGTCCTCTAGTTCCCAGAAGCTCTATTCTCTGGAGCTGCTCAGCCCCTGGAACAATGTCAGGGGTCACAGGGGAGCAGTGTTCTTGCTTGGGGGGAGGAAAGAGCTGTTTCCTCCTTTCTGGCTGCTATGGTTGTCTCCTGTGCCAGAATCAGGGGGCCCATCACACAGGTGCATGCCTCTATGCTTTGTGTTTGTAACTGCTGTAGGTGGGGATTCCCTCTGGCTGGGCTGATGCCAGGGTAGGGTTTGCCAGTTTGCGAGCCTGAGCCAGGTGCAGGCTAGCTGGGAGGAAGACACAGCAGGCTGTGTATCACTGTGAGGGGCCTTGGAGCTGTGTAGCCAGCCAGTGGGATGGAGCACCTGAAGATTGTTTAAGCTCCCAACCTACTGGGCAGTGTGCACCCAGACAATTTTGTCTACCTGCCGTTTCTCCTGAGCAGTAAGCTCTGTACAATTCTTGCCCCTTTAGGAGCCCTCTTGCTTTTAGGAAGTCTCTCAGACTGCCCACCCAGGTCAGCCAGATATGAATCCCTATTTTTCACAAGCAGCTGGAATCTCCATCTCTCCAGGTATTATTTAGCTTTCCACCCACACTAAATCACCAGAGCACCATGCAATGTAGGTTCATGCTCCCAGAGCAGATCTCCAGGGCTGGGTATTCAGCAGTCCCAGGCCTCCACTCCCTCCCCACTCTGTTTCTCTTCCTCCCCCTGGTGAGCTGGGGTTGGGGAAGGGCTTGGGCCCCTGGGTCATGGCTTTGGTATGTTACCCTATTCCATGAGGTCTGCTCTTTTCTCCAGGTGTATGCAGTCTGGTGCAGCCTTCTTTCCTGTTGCTTTTTCAGGATTAGTTATGTTAAATTATATTTTCTTATTATATGTGGTTTTAGGAGGAGGTCTCTGTCTCACTTCTCACGCAGTCATCTTTAATCCAATCTGTGTATTGACACTTTACATCTGGGGACATGGTCTGGGAAAATTTGGAGTTCAAACAAACCTGTGGTTTTGCAAGGACTTTGGGTCTCCCCAGGCATCAAAGAAAAAGCGTAATAACATCTGAGCTCCTTCAAGTTTCTTTTGTACGAGGAACTGGCTTAAAACCACCAGTGAAATGTTAACTAACATTTGAGTATCATTTTACAGTGTTTCACAAATCTGTCTGATGTTATGAACCCCTTTGACACCACCCCAGACCTACAGAATGAGAATCAACAGGGAGAAAGCCTGGAAGTCAGTATTTTTAAGAAGCATTCCAGGTCCTTATTGCTATCAGTCAATTTTGGGAAACTTGTCCAAAGGACATATAGCTATGAACTAAATTTTTCAGTAGAGGACCCTGAAGCTCAGAATGGTTAACTAGTCCCAAATTACATGGTTAATAAATGGCAGAGCCAAGACCTACAGACCTATGAAAAATGTGGTTGTGTCTCTGCTTCTGCATGGTGCCTCTCCAGACCCCACTAGAGTTCCTGCCTGCTTCTTCAGAGCCTCTTGTGCAGCTGTAGTACATGCTGGTGGCAGGCACACTTCCCCATCCCTCCTGTGGTCTCCACTGCCTGCTGTTGCCATGGTGTCTCCCCAACCCTGCAGGTTCCACAGCTGTGTCTGTTATGACCACCACCTTGCTGATGTTGCATGGCTGCTGCTGAAAGTGGCAAGTTGGAGAGCTCCTCTCTCAGTATTTTTTTCCGTCCCAGAAACCACAAAATCTATTTTTTTCATTCAGATTGAAAATGAGTTTTTACCCCTGTATATTACATTCAAGCAGTATCCACAAAACAACCCTTTTGCCTCACTTACTTATCAGAGGCAGATTTTAAAAATGTAGATAGGATGTTAAGATAGAATGTTGTTGATGGTAAATTGAGCAATGATTCCCTTTGGAAAGCTTATTAATGTTTTGGTTCTGTTTATGTGTGTGTGTGTGTGTCTTTTTTAGTTTTTATTGTATGCACAAGTGATATCGTTAATGACCATGGGAATAAATCCATACATGATGATTCATTCAGCCAGGACATTAGGTAAAGTATATCTGTCTTTCATTAACTGGGGAGAATAATGCCAAGAGATTATTGTTGGGGGTTCTGTGGACATTTCTTGAACAGGAATTGATTATGAAATCATTCATTTTCATTCACTCATTATTTATAGATGCTCTATTACTTGGGATTTTTGTTCAACCAGTTTAACAGAAACCACATTAACAGTAGCTTAAACAAGACAGGTTTTTTCCCCCTCTTCCACAGAAAGTCTAGAAGAGTGGGATGGTTCTGCTCCATAAGGTTGTCTAGAGATCCAGGATCCTTTTCTTTTGTTGCTTCTCCAGCCCCTGGGGTGTTGTTCTTGTCTGCAGGGTAGAAGTTGGCTCATTACCACTGTATCTTCAATCCAACCAACTACAAAGGGGAAATGGGAAGGGATGTGGCAATGGAGGATAAGCACCTTCTTTTTAAGGGCAGAATCCAGAAGTTGTATAGTTCATTACTCCTTACATTCCATTGGCCAGAACTTAGTCACATGGGCACACATGGGCAAGGACTCCTGGGAAATATTTTCTTTACCTGGCTGGCCATGTGCTCAGCCAAAACATGGAGATTCCATTGATAAAAGAAAAAGAGGAGACTGGGTATTTGGAGACAATCAGTGGGCTCTGCCACAGTTGCCTGTTTCTAAGAAGGAATTTAAGGCTGTTGAAAAAAAATTATAAGTATGATAAAAGCACAAATAGACACAAGGTCAATAGAGAAATACAGGATAAAATAATCTGTTGTGATGAGGTCAAGGGGGGAGGAAGGGATTATATGAAATCTTAGAATAGGGCCTTAGTATCATCTGATATCTCATGACCTGGTCTTCAGCTCTGCTGGGGTAGAGAATTGATCCTGTCAAGGGTATCTAGAATTGATCAGACTGATGAAGATTTACATATGCTGTACTCACAAGAGAATGTGGATAAAGCAGAAAATCAACTTATTTATTTATAATGAGAAATGATATCTTTTTACAGCTGAAATAATCATGATCATTATTCAGGGTAATTCACTTCTAAAAACCAGTTTCCTTGGTAAACCAAATTAGTCCTCAGAAGGTTTCTTGGAAAGTGTGGAACATGAAAGGTCAGTGAAACGATAATGTTGAAGGAGAGTTCTAAACAGAAAAACAGCCTGGTAACCATGCTCCATCAGACCGACAGGAGACATCACCACTCTGCTTGTCTTTTCACAGTCCTGCCCATTCCCCAAACTGTGTGCCACCGACACTATTGTAGGATATCCTGTGATACCCCATTTCTGAGCTAAGGGCTCCAGTATGTGAACAGGGCTAGTAAACAGGCAGATTTTTAGCAGCTCTCTTTTTCTCCCTCTGTGGGTTTGTTACTGTTTGCGGTGGAAAGGTGTGCTTGGATCAGCAAAAGCCCACACTGGAGCTTAAGTGAAGTTAATTGATCCCTGAGGTTTACTCACACCTTCCTTCCCACCAATTTCCCTGGACTCCCCAGGACCCAAACCTACTCTGCTGTCTTTGCTGAGGATGTAGCATTTGGGCTTCTCCCATGTTTGCTTTCGTGTGATTCCTCTCACCCTGTGATTCCTTGTGATTCCTCTTACTTTTACTCAAAGGCAGGATTAAGGGATTTTACTCTCATGGTAATGTTTTTTTCTGTTCTTCTTCTTCCCTTATAAATTTTTTATTGTATTAACTAAACCTCAGAAATTCTTATGATGGAACAAAACATATATGGCAAGGACTCTGTCTTCTCAGAACCGATATGTGTTTCCTCAAAGCAACTGGGAAGTGACTATTGCTCCACCATATGGGTAGGATGTAATTAGGCAAGTGAAAAAGCTTTCTTCTTGTGTGATCTCAGCCATGGGAATTTTAAATCCAAAGTTGACACCTTCTGACTCTTCAGAGAGTGGTCAAATGCATCTTTGCTCTAGATCACGGTGAACTGAGAGGACTATGCCCCCAGACCGTTTTGAAACCCCCAAATTTCAAATAGTACTGTTGCACACAGTGCCCTGTAATGAATGCAGTAAGGCTGAACTAAAACATTTAGAAATCTTCTTAACTCTTTCTGAGACATTTCACATGCAGTTATGAACAGGGAACTATTTTATGGAGATGGAATTCCATAGACTACACTAACTCATTAAATTCTTCTTTATGGTCAGCAAGCCTCATAGCTATAACTTCAAATTCACTTCTGTAAATTCTGGATGTATAGATTTGTTGGCCAGCAAACAGTGATGTTAAATCTGAGGGATCTCTATTGCAGTGGCCTTTAAATTTTATTATGTACAAAAATGAGTTGGAGAATTTGCTAAAATGCAAATTCCCAGGCTAGTATGATTCTCCAGGTATAGAGAGGGGCCCAGGAATTTGCATAATTTAATAAGCAGCCCTGCCTTGGAAGACAGGTAGTTTTGTGCACTTTGATAAATACTCTAAGCACTGTGGCTTTGCTCTGCGGGTGATGCCAAGATGTTACCGAGTCATGGGATTATTTTGCTTTTTTGCTTTTGTCACTGTAGTCTGTTAAGGCCCTTGCTTTTCTTTGTCGCAGGTCTGTGTGCTATTTCTCTTCCAAGACAAACAGCCGTGCAAAATACCATGAAGCACATACAGGAGATAATATGGAACACTATAACTTTATTTAAGACAGAAAAAGTTTTGACAAATGTTGATTGGACCTTAGTAGAAGAAAAAACAAAGATTGAATACATCATTCCCGTGAGTTGATATCTCAAAAAAAAA